GAGGTGACAGCCTGCTGTCCCCTAGGCAGAGGGCGAGCGCTGGGGCTGTGACGTGGCTCCTCACCGCCGCTTCTGGCGGGGACAGTCCTTGGGCTTCTTCAGCGATGACAGCGACAGTGACAGCGAGCACGGCGTCCCCAAGCAGTGCTACAAGGTACTGGGGGGTCCCCCCACTGCCCCCCGGGCTGGGGGAGGGTGGTCTCCCCTAAATCTGGCCGTGTACCCCCCCAGCTCCGCGAGCCCCAGGGCTTCCCCGGCTTCCTGCTCTTCCTCTGCCGCCTCCTGAGCCCCGTGCTGCAGACCTACGGCCGGGCGGTGCAGTTCCTGCAGAGACCCCCCTGGCCCCAGCCCGGTAAGACCCCCCAACGTGGGGAACCCCTTGGGACTCCCTGGGGCCACTGAGGCATGGCTGCAGCCCCGGCAGGTGGGATCTGACGCCCCTCCCCACTGCAGAGGCAGACTACGTGGAGGCACTGCTGGAATTCCTGGCCGAGGATGAGGATGGTGAGTCAAATAAGGGGGGGGGTCTTGTTTTAGTGACCCCCAAGCCAGGCTGAGGGTTCCTGAGAGGTGTCATTTGGGGGTTCTTGGGGATCTCTCTGCCCACAGGGTACCCTGACAGGAGCCTGGCCCTGAGCTCCCTGCAGAGTTTCAAGGACATGGGGGTAAGCACAGCTCCCCCAGCCCCCCAACACTTCGCTGCCCCTCTCCCTCCCCTCGTGACCTCCCTGTGCCCCCCCAGGTGCTGGAGGAGATGCAGACCCCCACGGGACCAGCCCTGCAGCTCTCCCAGCCTTTCCAGTCTGCTTCCAACCGGGAGAAGCTGGCAGCCTTCATCCACCAGTTCACCCAGCTGTAGCCCCCAGACCCATAAAAGGGGCACAGTGACCCAATGGCTCCTGGATTTATTGACCTGGGCGGTGGTGGGACCTGGGGCGCTTCTCCACCATCACACGACCCTGTTGCAGATGGTTCCCAGCTCCTCAATCTCACACTGCACCTCGTCACCACGCTGCAAGGGGGGACACGGTGGCACCTGTCCCCACGGGGCTCCACCGTGTCCCCCCCGATCCCCCCATTTCCCCTCACCTTGAGGAAAACGGGCGGTTTCCGAAAGACCCCCACTCCCGCAGGGGTCCCTGTCAGCAGGATGTCCCCAGGGACCAGTGTCACGAACCTGGGGGGGCACAGGAGGTGTCAACCACGGCCCCCAGGGCTTTGGGGGTCCCCAGGCCCCCGTTCCTACCGGGACACCCAGGCGACGAGGGCGGGCACCCCGAAGATGAGGTGCTGGGTGTTGCTGTCCTGCATGAGCTGCCCGTTGACGCTGCAGCGGATCCACAGCTTGTGGACATCTGCAGGAGGTGACACAGGGGACACGGGGGACGTGGGGACAGTGCCACCGTGACCCCAGCGAGGGGAAAACCATGGGGGAACAGGGAGAGCGGGGCTGTGATGGCAGCGGTGCCAGCTGAGAAAGGGTCAGGGTGGCATCCCTGCCCCACCTGGCACCGCCTCCCTGGTGACAATGGCCGGCCCCAGGGGACAGAAGGTGTCGAAGGTTTTCCCCAGCAGCCACTGCCGCCCGTTGCGCCGCATCTGCCAGTCCCGGGCGCTCACGTCGTTGGCCACCGTGTAGCCCAGTACGTGCTCCAGCGCCTCCGCCTCCTGGGGACAGCGGGGGGACACTCTCAGGGGACACTCCCAGGGAGCCCCCGAGGCGGGGACACTCAGGGGACACTCCCAGGGGACACTCCCCGAGGCGGGGACACTCTCAGGGGACATTCCCAGGGAACCCCCGAGGCGGGGACACTCAGGGGACACTCAGGGGACACTCAGGGGACAAGCCCCCGAGGTGGGGACACTCAGGGGACACTCCCAGGGAGCCCCC